TTCAGAAAAGCGTAGTCGTTCTTAGTCTACGAATGTTTCCATCTACCTTGATTTTTTCCAAGGTCAATAAACCACTTTGTAGCGCATGTGCGCTGATGGCGATAGATGCGTCGACTCCGTGAGATAAAGACTGAATAAGTACTATTATTATATGTTTTCATTTCTAGACAGTGGTACTTTGCAGCAAGAAACGTTTCCAGTTTACGGAACAGGGTGACGCTCTAGAGTTTCTCTCGTGGCTTTTGAATGCCCTTGATCAGACCTTAAGGCCCGTTTCCAAGGGCCATCCTGTGAAACCGACCATAATTGGGAGGGCTCTGCGAGGCCGTATGGTCATTTACAGTCAGAAAGTAACACCAGTCAACATCACACCGGAGCAAGCAGAGCAATATGCCACTGATCCAGAGTACATGGTAGGTGAATGAATCGAGTCTCAGCCATTACTTAGCCATTGTATTTACACCGGCAAACATTTGTATTTGCGTAAATTAATCACTCTCTTTCGTACTCGACTATTGGAAGACTTATTCAAACTTACAGTCTATCAATACTCCACCATATCATTCAATGTTGCTTCCACCGCTTTTCGTGATAATTTGTTTCTCGTCGCCTCACCTTCATATTTACCGCACCTGGATACAAATATGTGTGCAATGAATAGCTAAATTCAACCTGGATTCTGTATCAGCCGCTAGTTTTATGCTTGTTAGCGCCTTTTACATCAGTCATCAGAACTCATTCGCAAATCTATTGGATTCGTACCTGCGCCCAAATCGACGTTACCATTTTAAAGTGCTCAGGATATTTCCGCCATTTGACAGCCGCGTGTTACGGAATCACCCTTCCTCTACCTTACGTGTGACCTACCACCGCCACCCCTGTACCTGGACGAGTTCAAGGAGAGCATCATTCCCCAAGTGCCACTCTCCACCCTCCTGGCCAAGTTCAACGGAGTCACGGAGAAGGAGTACAAGACACACTGCGACTCCACCATGCGCCGGTTCTGCCTCAAGCGCCTTCCTCCATATCTCATTCTATTCATGAAGCGCATTGTGAAGAACATATTCACGCTGGAGAAGAACCCAACCATTGTCAATTTTCCCATTAAGAGCATAGACTTTGGAGAATTGCTTGATCAAGAAGCACGTGCTCAACACAAGTAAGTTCCCCAAACTGCATGGGCAATCTAATTACTAAATTGGAAACAAATACATATAAGTGCTGCTACACGCTCTGTGCAGTGTAAAAACTTGTGTAGTTACAGCATACTTGTCCTTCCATTGTTCGGGTTTAGAAGAATTTCGAAACTGATGAGTGTGCGACGCGACAACAATTCCGAAGGCTGCACTATAGACAGCTCTTCTCGTTTCTACACCTCTTCATGTGCCATAGTCAGGCAAAAAAATCTTGCTATTTTCCTAAAAATATGCCCCAGTGACGATAGAAGAATTGCGTGGCCAAAAGAAATTGTTTACTGAATTACTGGGTGCGCTTTGAATCCCTGTGATGCTATGACGAGTTTGTAAACTTTCTATTGGTTTATTACAACAATATTGAAAGCAAATAAACTGTGTGTCATATTAATGAATTGCTTTTTAGATACACGATCTACGATTTGGTGGCCAATGTGGTTCACGATGGTCCACCTACTCCAGGTGCAGGCACTCACCGAATCTTTGTACTGCAACGCGGCACGGGCAAGTGGTTTGAAATGCAGGACTTACACGTGAATGAAGTTCTTCCCCAGATGATTCCTCTCAGCGAATCGCTTATTCAGGTGAGGCTGTCCTTCAATTTCCGTTGCTTGGTCGCTTTACATTTGGCCTCCAGAGGCCAAAACAAAACTAATCTGAGAGGGGGCTTAGCAATGACAAATGACCTGCTTCTCGTGTCTTCTAGGTTTGGGCAGTAAATAAAACCATCCAAAATCCTTTTTACAAAAATAAAACAACAAAAAAGGCCGAGGAAGGGACTGCCAAGGAACCCGGAGGAGAGGCTTGATGCAAAATATTTGTACAGTAAAAGAATAAAGCATTTTTCCCAGTCTCCGGTCTTT